AGCTGAAACAGGTTTGGCTCAGTGGATAGAGCTTCGGCTTGCGGACTGAAGGGTCCCCGGTTCGATTCCGGTTCGGGGCATGTACTTTGGTTACGGGCACATTCTTAGTATGGGGTGTGCAAGAGGCAGCTGATCAATGATTCTCTCTCATCGATGTTTTTAACTCTCTATCCCTCTCTCTCCTCTCTGTGAAAAATCAATAAAATATATTTTTAAAAAATTTGATTTTAGAGAGGAAGGGAATTCATTCACTTTTTAAATGAATTTAGTCCTATTTAAAAATAATTTTTATTTTTCAATTACAATTGACATGTAATATATTAGTTTCAGGTACACAGCATATTGATTAGATATTAATATAACTTATAAGGTAGTCACCCTGCTAAGCCTAGTACCTACTTGACACCATATATAATTATTACCCATGTTATTGACTATATTAGCCATACTGTACCTTATATCCCTGTGACTGTTTTATAATTGGCAATTTGCACATCTTAATCCTTTTCCTATTATCACCCATCCTCCCAACCTCCTCCCATCTGGCAACCATCAAAATGTTCTTTATTTATGAGTTTGTTTCTGTTTTGTTTATTTATTTAATACATTTTTATTGTTGATAGTATTTTATTGTTGATAGTACTGTCGATAGTATTGCTTATATCTCCCATTCCCCCTCCCCACCAAGCCTCTATCCACCCCCCTAGATCTTCACTTCCCTATAGCCCATGTCCATGGGCTATGCATATAAGTACAAAAGTTCTTTGGTTTCTTCCTGCTGCTGGCCTGGCACATATAGAATTTAAACCTTCTCTCAGTAGTAGAGCTAAAGAAGACAACCAACCAGGGCTTATCCATCTGAAATTGTAATTGGCTCACTAATCCAGGACAAAGTCAGAGATCAGAACTCAAGCATAATCCTCCTTTTTCTAGCACTGCTACAGAGATGTTTGATATAAAGGCTTGGGCAGAGTATATTGTGCAACGAGCTGCAAAGGATCCATACGGCTTCCTTACAACAGTTATTTTGGCCCTTACTCCATTGTTTCTAGCAAGTGCTGTACTGTCCTGGAAACTGGCCAAGATGATTGAGGCCAGGGAAAAGGAGCAAAAGAAAAAACAAAAACGCCAAGGAAATATTGCAAAAGCTAAACGACTGAAAAAGGATTGAAGGAATGAACAGGCTCTGCAACCAGAGGAAACTCATTCGGGAAATGATGCAGCTTTGAAGGACCCTGTAAGGTTTCTTTTCTGGATTTATGATAGTATTTAATAAACGAAGCCCGAGCATATGGAAGAATCATGTTAGTTCTGACCGTTACTGTAGCAACTTTTAGGCTTCTGTGTAGAAGTCTGTTGACAGTTATTTATTATGCCAAAAATGCTTTATAACCTATTTAGTCATTTGCCGTTTTGCGGCTTACTACATCCTGTGGATAAAAAAAAGACTTTAGATTATGAACTCTTCAAATACTGGCTAAAAAAGTGTTCTGTACTGGACAAAGGAAACTAAGAATGTAAAAAGGAGAACTTTCCTGAGGTGAAAAAATACGTTTTGGCTTAAAAAGAGATACCGCATATTAATAAAATATTTTGTCATTATTGCTTATATCTTAGCATCATTTCTGGCTTTCTCAAACCAAAATATTATTCATCAGTGAGTACTTCATTTTCTACATTTTCTTCATTCTAGCCTTTGAGAGACTGGTAATTATCAGACATTCTGCCTTTTTTAAAATCTAATTTTATGAAAAATTCATCTCGATTGTATAAAGTACCACCTACTAACAATTTTGTACGTATGAACGCTGCCCTTTACTTAGAGACGACTTGTTGACTAGAGTAACACTGTGATTTAAAGCTTGCAGTAAAAATGCCAACCCTTGAAGTACTTTGGAACCAGTTTATTCTTGTGTTAAGAAGAAATGTGAAGTATAATAGTTAAAATGTCTTATATGATAATTTGCTGATTATATGAAGACCACTTTTAACTTTTCCAATTTTTGGACTCATGTAGTGATGTTCTATCATTTTTGATCAAACAAGTTCACAGTGAAAAAAATTCAATTTTGTTTTCAAGGAACTCTTAAAAAAAAAAAAGTTCTTTGGTCTGTCTCTTCTCATCCTCCCAGCCCCACACGCAAGCTGAGGGCTGCCGACGCCATCTCGCAGGGTGGGCTGCGCAGACCTCTGACGCCAGGCCCGCGCGCACGAGCGGGACCTGTTTGGTTTGGAAGAGGAGGGGGCGCGCTACCGGGGAAACCACGCGTGCGCGTCGGCCGCGACGGCGGAGGGGTGGGGCCCGCTGGGCGTGCGCGTGCTCGGCGGGAGCCCGGCTGTACCTGGAGGAGGTGGAAGGAGTCGGGTTGAAGAGCGCTTGCGCGCGAGGGGTACGGCGCAGGGAGAGGGGCTCTTGAACACGCGCGCGGGGACGAGACGTTGGGAACTCTCGCGAGATCTTCCGGTGCTATCCCTCTCCTGTTCTGCACCGCAGAAGCTGTTCATCTCCCCCCGCCTTCTCGCTCCCCTAAGTGCGTGCCACCACCCGTGGAGGATTCTGTGGACATGGACGTGAGTTCTCTGAGGCCCTAGAACTACCTTTTCGGTAACTATCGGGGGACGCAGGGAGGCCCTGCTGGGCCTAGTGGCTGTGAGGTGGGGCGGAAGGGGGCGGGGCGGGTGTGCGCAGAGGCCGGGCTGTGGAAGGGGGCGAGGCAGGCTGGAGGCCTGAGGGAGTGGGAAGCTAATGGCAGGGCCTGGCAGCCTCAGGGGTGGAGAACCGGGAGCGGTGAGCACTAAGGGGTGGGAAGGAGTGCTGGCCTGAAGCTTGGGGGTGAGCGGTCCGAGACCCAGAGCCTGGGGCTCCTTGGAACCGACTTGCTGAGGGCTCAGCATTGCTGGGTAAACTCAAGAGCTCCAGGGGGTGTGTGAGGGCGCAGGCTTTTGATTCTCTGCCAGTGTCTTTGGTGCAGGAGGTTGTGTGGGCTCTTTGTGTGAGGCGTAGGCCTTCTTTCAGGAGGAGAGGATGGATGGAGCCTGGCCTTGCCCTCCAGGCCCTCAGGAATTCTAGAGCCCGGACAGCCCCAGTGCCTCGGCGGGTTCCAGGGGGAAGGGTGTGGGGGCTATATCCGCGGCTCACTGGTCTCTTGTCACCCCCGAGCCCGAGATCCTGGGGCTTCATTGGGGCTGTTGGGCGGGAAATGTTAGATGAAATGGTTGGTATCCCCGAGATGGGGGAGGCAGCCAGAGGTGGGGATTGCCCACTAGGCAGGTGAAGATAGTGATGCTCAGAACCCAAGTGACCTAAGGAAGGTTGCACTTGCAGATAAATAAGATCCAAACCACGATTCTTGACTCCAGAGCTGGCGCATTATAAATGACAATTTCTTTAATGTGCGGCATTGTGCCAACAGCTTTTTATTTATTTATTTTTTTTTAAGATGAGAAATATGCTCAGGTTCAATTTGGGTCAAGAAGACTCGGTACTATTACTATACTATATACCAAGGTTTTGGGATTGCCCCTCTTCCCAGAACACAGTACATAGCATACTAAGGAAAGAGCAGACTTGGTTTTCAGTAAACTTGTTGAAGCCCTTTCTTTGTGTCAGTCAGGCTTTAAGTAACAGCAAATTCTGCCCCAAGTGTATTCTGCCCCGGATTTTTGTTAATTGAGTATTAACATTTAAACATCTCTGTACTAGTAACTATTAGAGTGCAATTTAAATGGAATCATTTAAATTAATTAAAATTTTACTCTGATGGTACTTAAAACAATCTGCTTATCGTGAAATAGCTAGTATGCACTGTACATTAGTGCTTTTATTTCTAGCCATTTTGAATAGCTGGGTTTCTGATCAATTGATATCAAGATATTTTTTGTTGACCCTTTTCATTGGAAATATTCCCTAGGATATGTCAACATATTGTTAAAGTAACAGAAATGATGTACATTAAATATGCCAGAAATTATGTTTAAGGTAAGAATAGACATATCCTAGGGATAGTAAAAGCCTGGATGGATGTTATTTGTAGGCATTTGTGTTCAAGAAATCTAGGAAGAGAGGCCTTCTGGTAGAATAGTGAAAAATCACAAGTTAATTATTTCCTTTTTGGTTACCCACACTGAAGTTTCAGTATTATTTTTTCTCCATGTTATAGTTGCTTTTTTTCTTCATTTACAGATTGTGAACTAAAGGCCGACAAAGATTATCACTTTAAAGAGGATAATGATGGAAGTGAGCTCCAATTATCTTTACAAACGGTACTTAAACTTTTCAAAATAAACTGCTAAACCTTTCTCGATTTCAGCCTGTTTCTATTCATGTGGCTTACTATTTAATTTTTATTATAATAGTATTTTTATAACTGAGTATTGTGTATACTGATTTCCTGTATACCTGTGATACAAAACTTGGCATTTTTTCACTCCTTTGGTAATCATATAAGTCTACTGTTCTACTTTTCATATTCATATACTTAAGTTGCCTTATAAAGTCCTTTAGGGTAGTGGTAAATCTTCTTTGTTTCCTGCAGAGCCTAGCCCATAGCTTGCTGTTTAACTTGTAGGTGGCCAATAAATGTTAGATAATCATACTATAGATAGGTGATGACATGTACAATTATAGGGTGTCTCCCCAAAATGTATACTCACACTTTAAATAATTATAAAGGTGGTGCTTATTAAAATGCATTTCATTTTCAAAATTGAGCTGTTAAAGTGTCTATGCAGTTTTGGGGGCACCCTGAATGTCATCAAATGCATTTTTATGCATTTGTCCAAATTTATTGAATATGAGAAATTGTCAAAGTCCCATAAACTTGAAGACAACATTGTGCACAAATTAGTTTTCCATCAGTGGTAACAGTGAAGTTTATAAGTAACTTTTTTTTTTTTTTTTTTTTAAATAACATAACTCTTGGGGGGATTGCATTATACAGAAACTTCAGTTGAAGTGCTGCTTTTCTGTTCACAGGTCAGATTAGGGGCTGGTGCAAAGAATGCAAAGTGGACAGCACTTAGTGGGTATGTTATTTTTATTATCTTATGTAGCTACTTGTCCCATCTGGACTACTGTCTTTATAGTAGATTCAAATGGGAATCTAATAGTTATATTACTAATTTGTAACTGGAAACATCTGTTACTTTGCATATAAAACCTAGTAATGAGTGTTAGGCCCCACAGTTTCTTTTTGTAAAAAAGTTTGTTTGCTTTTTGCCTTGTTTAAGTAGTAGAATCTGTTTTTAAATACTGATTACTGTATATTAATGCCCTTTTTTTTTTTTCTGAGTTCTTGCTTCTGTGTTGAATTTTAGTAGTGGCTAATAAATTTATTTTAGCTGTGGAGGAAGATGCAGTCAGAAGATGACGAGGAGGAGGAGGATGTGAAACCCTTAAATATGTCTGGAAGGCGTTCTGCCCCTGGAGATGATAGCAAGGTTCTGCAGGTACAGATGTAATTTATTACAGGTATCTTTTTCTGGTTTTTGGTTTGAGCATTTGCTCATGAGGTTTTTTTAAATTGTTTTCTTTTTAAAGAAAAAAGTAAAACTTGCTGCTGCTAAAGATATTGAGGACGACGATGATGAGGAGGAGGATGATGAAGAGTAAGTATGGCCCTGGCCGGTTTGGCTCAGTGGATAGAGTGTTGGCCTGTGAACTCAAGGGCCCAGGTTTGATTCAGGTCAAGGGCATTTATCTTGATTGTGGGTACATCCCCAGTAGCGGGTGTGCAGGAGGCGGCTGACCGATGTTTCTCTCTCATCGATGTGTCTGGCTCTCTCTCCGTTTCCCTTACTCTCTGTAAAAAATCAATAAAATATATTTTAAAAAAAAAAGACTAAGTATGGATTCAGAAGCTTGATGAGGTTGTATGGGGGAGTTTTAAGAAATTTTTTTTTCTAAAATCTTCCTGTGGAATTGAATAATAGCTTTAAATAAAGAGTAAATGATCAGTGGTTGTCATTTTGGGTTAAATGAGCCGAGTTAAAGGATACTGGTGGAACTGTGAATGTTTAAAGTGCTGCAGTACATTGAGAATTTTCAGAACTATTTCCCTGATGTGTTTGACTAGGTACCGCAAGCATGTCAAACTCGAGGCCTGTGGGCCATATGCAGCCCACAACGAATATTTTTGTGGCCCAGCCAATGCAACGGTATGTAAGAAATATTTTAATAAAAAGTTTGTAACTTAATTTTTACAATATCCTGTTATACATCATTATTTATAATGAACTACAACTTTCGCTAATGATTGATTATTAGAATCGTGTTGCATTCATTTCCCTTACGTGCCTTAAGTGCAGGCGCACTTGGACTGACATTTTTGGTGTACGCAACAGGAAATATTTTGCTTTTAGAAAACAAGAAAAATAGGCTTATTTGCGTTTCACTTATTTTGTGCAGTTTATTCAGTGTCTGGTTGAGTTAATGTTCAAGAAAAATATTAATTTTTATTAAAATGTTCTATTATTTTATGTTAATGATTGCTCATTTATTTCAGCCCTTTGTATTTAGCATGTCTCTATCGAAATCAAGTAGTAGCAAAAATAAACGAAAAATTGCTGATGAACATCGAAATTTCCAAGAAAAGTGGGAATTGGAGTATTTTTGCTGTGAAGTAAAAAATAAAATAATCTGCTTGATATGTAATAATGCTATTAGTGTACCAAAGTTATACAACATTAATCGTCACTATGAACAACATAAATCAAAATATGATCATTACGAGGGATTAATGAGACAAGAAAAGTTGAAAGAGCTCAAGTTGGGACTGAATAAACAACAGTTCATGGTCACTAAAGTATCTCAAGAAAGTGAAGCAGCGGTGCATGCAAGCTACGTCTTGTCCGAGTTGATAGCTAAACACTCGAAACCTTTTACTGAAGGTGGTTTCATCAAGGAATGTCTAATTAAAGCTGCAGAAATTATTTGTCCTGGAAATGTGAAGTCTTTTCAAAGAATCTCTTTGTCTCGAAATACAGTTGCAGAAAGAGTTACTGATTTGGCCGACAATTTAAGTATTCAGATCAAAGAAAAATCATCTAGTTTTGAAGCTTTCTCCATTGCCTGTGATGAGAGTACCGATATTGGAGGCGTTGCTCAGTTAGCTGTGTTTCTTCGCGCTTGTGACACAGATTTCAACATTTTTGAGGAATTGTTGGAACTGGTACCGATGCATAACACTAGTACAGGACAAGATATATTTAACTGTGTTTTTAAGCTTCTGCAAAAATACAATCTACCTCTCTCAAAATTAACTTCTGTAGCTACAGATGGAGCTCCTTCAATGACCGGAAACAATGGTTTTGTGGAATTACTGCAAAAAAAACAAAGTGAAATTTATGACGGATCCAAGATTCATCATACACATTGCATTATACATCAAGAAGTATTGTGTGCGAAAGTAATAAACATGGAAAATGTGTTGACATCTATCAAAAAAATTATCAATTTCCTAAAATCTCGAAGTTTAAATCAGCGACAGTTCTCTGCTTTCTTAAGTGAATTGGACAGTGAATATTCCAGCTTGTCCTACTATACTGAGGTACGTTGGCTATCCTGTTCTAAGGTTCTTAAACAATTCTGGGACTTGAAAGAAGAAATATGTCAGTTCTTAATAACTAAAAATCAAGACACAAGCCTGTTTTTTGACACAACATGGTTGCAGGATTTATCCTTCATGGTTGATATAACAAAACACTTATATGATTTAAACTTAAAACTGCAAGAGAGAGATCAGATTATTACAAACATGTGTGACCAAGTCAAAGCATTCAAATGTAAGCTAGTTCTTTGGGAAAAGCAGTTGAAAAATGAAGATTTAACACATTTTCCAACATGCAACATGAACAAATCAAGTTTAGGTGAATCTGCATCGTATCAAAAATACGCAGAAAAAATTTTAAGCCTTAGAACTGAATTTGAAACAAGGTTTGCAGATTTTAAATTTTTAGAGGACAAGTTTTCTTTGTTTTCTTCGATTTTTTCAATAAATATAGACTTAGTACCTAGTGAAATGCAAATGGAGGTAATTGAGATCCAGTGCGATTCAAATTTGAAGGCAAAATTCAGTGAAGTTGGCGTGCCTGAGTTTTACAAATATTTACCTGCCAGGTTTGAAAATACTCGAAAATTTGCGTATGAGATTATTTCCATGTTTGGAAGTACTTATCTGTGTGAGCAGTTATTTACAATTATGAAAGGAAATAAGTCTCCGGTCAGATCCAGAATTAGTGATGTTCACCTTGGGTCAGTTTTGAAAGTAATCACTGCGAACAAGATTTCCCCTGAAGTAGGGAAGATAGTAGCAGAGAAAAGATGCCAAGTGTCAGGAAGAAAACATTAATTTTATCATTGCTCTTTTTTTTTATACTATACTTTTTGAAATAAACCTACATTTTTATGAAAATTGAAGCTGTGTGTGTGTGTGTGTGTGTTTTACAGCCCACATAAACTTAAACCTTGTTTATTTGGCCCATGTTAGCCTTTGAATTTGAGATGCTTGGTCTACACAGCATGTACTCACATATCTTGCTACCACTACAAACTCCATGTATATGAAACTGAACATATCTTTGACTTCAAAATGGGCTTCTGCTGACTGTATTGTTTCTGACAATTGTTCTGGTTCATAAGCTTATACTTTTCTTGCTCCTGCTGCTAGTGTCATCAAGATTTCAAAAATATTTTGTAGGCTAGCAACAGGCTATTTTTGCTGCCTTCTGGTTAGTAATAGATACTAGGCTCACTACTGTGTATAATTACAATATTTCTGAATCACTACAACTATCTACAGGGTAGTCGAGTGGTTGCAGCAGCCCATATCCCTGAGCTTTCTCTTCAATCATGCCATCAGACATCCTGCAACTGCTATTTCCTCTCCTCACAAAGTCTTTGCATTTTCCTTTCCATTGGTCTAACGACCATGTCATGCACCTCTCATTGGGCAGGTTAAATAAGCTCTTGAGCTGGTCTTCTATCCCTTTGACCTTCTACTTAATAAATCCTAAATTATGGTGGAACATTCTCCATAAAAAAATACGGTGTTTATTGCTTTCTCTTTCGATTTCTGACTCTATATCCAGTTCTCTGATTATTTTTCATGTGTACCATTTATCTTGCTAGTTAAATGCTAGCTCTTTGAAAGCAGGAATACTTTTTTTTTTTTTTTTTTTTTTTTTTTTTTTATCAAATTACATTCCTGTTCTACAGCAGACTCTGCTGGAGAATATCAGAACTGCATTACAATAAGTGCTGAATATTTGCTAAGTAATTTGACTTAATAGATGGCACCTCTCTTATTTCTTCATCTGCACCTATGATTATCTCAAAATAAAATAATTTAAAAATTAGAAATACAGCCACAAGTTGCAAGGTCCTGACACAATTTCCCCTTGTTTGTTTAAAAATTGCTATAAAGATTTTTTTATTACAATAATATGGACACTCATTCAATTAGAAGAAGCTTGGTTAACTTCTTCCCAAACAGGTGGCTTATGCTTTTTAAATCCTAGAGAATTATTGTGTTGTTTCCTTCCTCTGGGATGTGAGGGAGATGGGACAAGGAGGGTAGAGGATGTACCTTGAAGACTGTGCAGTCCTGGGAGGCACCTCATAGTGGCCACAGCGATGACCTCACCCAGCAGATGAGTGCTCAGCAAGTGATACTGGAGCTCATGCAGTTGGGAATCTGAACTTCGGACCCACATCTTTGCCAGGAGCCAGGCAAGGGGAGGATCTGAGGGCAGGAACAGTGGTGGGGTGGGGCAGCTGGGGCTGGGAGGCTGGATCTGAAACCAAGAGGAGCTAAGCATCCATTGGCTTCTTCCTATGTTAGAAGCTGCTTATTATTCTGGGGGAAACATTGGTGACTGATTATCGTCTCCCAGGGATTACACTATAGTCGGAGGAATGAAGGCCTTTCCACTCATCCTCTCAAGTGCTGTGGGGAAGTGTCAGTGCCATGATGCTCAGGTTCAAAGCAGGAGGAATTGGAAAGAGGTGTCCAGTGTGACTGAGGGAAACGATGAGGTATGGGATCCCTTATTACATCCCGCGTGGTTCAGGCTTCCTCTTCAGGGTTCCGTGTTCTGGAGGAGGCTGCACACAAATGAAGAGAGGCTGGGAAAGAGTTAATTTGGGAAAATGGGGTGCCAGGCGGGACTACTACTGCTCTGGCCTTTGCTATCCCTTTTTATTGAGGCTATGGGGGAACACCCATATCCTTTTGGCAGGAAATTCCAATAATAGACAATCGGCAATAATTTATATTATGATTAACAGGTGGAGGTTGCTTTAACTACCAAAGTCTCAACTAAATGAGTTAATGGCTCTGACCATTCAGAGCGATTAAGGTTGGCCAGCCTTCCGGATTCCCTTTTCACAGTTGGCAATGAGGGTGTGAGTTAGGATGGTAGAATAGAAATGAGAAGGTGGACATGTGAGATAACTGACAGTTCCTATGAACTGACGAGAACAGTAAGTGTAAAAACACATTAAAACCAAGGGAGAAATATGTCTAAGAAAGAAGGGATTTTCCACAGAATCATAGATAAAAATGATTCAGTAGCCTTATCATGAGAACTAACAGCATTCTGACTCAAAAAGGCAATTCCAGGTGAGTAGTAAGTAGGCTGTAAGGTAGAAAGGAGATACTGAATACAAGGGCAGGTATCACTGAACCATGCAGGGGTGGGAGACAAGAGTCAGCAGTGTTTGTCCCTTGGCAGAGGTTGGCGATGAACAGAGTGGTGTTGGGCAGAGGTTTCTGAGGACACCTCACCTGGATGACACCTCACCTGGGCTCCATCTTCAGCATGACAAGGGGGACAGCCAGGTACTGCTTCTCATTGGCTGGAGTTCCATCCAGTAGGATGAAGTCAGTCTCAAAAAGGGAAACTTTCTAAGCAAAGTAATGCACCCATGGTTAGAGTTGAAAGCATACATCCACATGGCCAAGGCAAAGGGGAAGAAATGTAAAGACATCCACTCTCTTGCCATTATCCCCTATCAGTAGTCCTAGTGGCAGAAATGAAGGAAGCACCAGAGCATCAAGTTCAAGTTCTTTTATTTTAGAGGGAGGCCTAAGATCCAATAAAAGGAGGCTTAGACACGCAGCTTGAATGTGTCAGAGGCAGTTTTAGGACTAAGTGTGCCCAGTGATTCTGTCCCACAAGTATGCCCAGCTCTTCCCTTGTCAGGCTGCCCAAGCTCCTTTCCCCACCGTCTCCTAATGGTCAGCTTTATTGGCAGAATCCAGCTTCGATGCTCTCCCTACGTTTTCACCTCTAGGTTTTCCCAGCAGAGGACTCTATACCCAAGGACAGTGGGTTACCACAGCCTCCCTTTCCAGACTCAACTTTGGTGCCTCCCCTTCACCACCTCACAGACAGGGAGAAGACAATCAGGGGCTGGAGGCTGTACCTGGAGTTCTTTCTCCAGCTGGGCCTGAAGCTCCTCCATCCCTGAAGAAGGAGGGCAGAGAGGTGGAGCATCTCAGCAGCATGGGGTTGGTGCCATTGAGGAACTGGTAGCCAAAAAGCTCATCATCCTGCCAGTGCTGGTGAACCTTTTCTGTGGGGTCAGAGTGGAGGTTAGGAGGAGGATATTCACCACAACCTGATGTTCCTCTCCTTCAGGCTCTATTTAATCTAGAGATTTAGTCACATGACTCCCCCATACCCAAGACATATATTTCCCCCCATTTTTTCTATTAAGGTACGGTATATGTGTACATATATTACCATTGCTCCCACTCCCCACCCCACTCCCATACATGCGCTCACCTCACCCTCCCCCCCAGTGTTTTGTGTCCATTGGTTGTGCTTATATGCATGTATACAAGTCCTTTGGTTGATCTCTTATTTTCCCTGCCTCTCCCTAATCTTCCCACTGTAATTTGACCATCTGTTTGATGCTTTACTGCCTCTGTATCTATCTTTTTGTTCATCAGTTTATAATGTTTTTTATTATCCACAAATGAGTGAGATCATGTGGTATTTTTCTTTCATTGACTGACTTATTTCGCTTAGCATAATGTTCTCCAGTTCCCATCCAGGTTGCTGCAAATGGTAAGAATTCCTTCTTTTTTTCATGGCAGCATAGTATTCTATTTTGTGGATGTACCATAGTTTTCTGATCCAGTCATCTGCTGATGGGTACCTAGGCTGTTTCCAAATCTTAGCTATTGTAAATTGTGCTGCTATGAACATAGGGGTGCATATATCCTTTCTGATTGGTATTTCTAATTTCTTTGGATATATTCCTAGGAGTGGGATTACTGGGTCAAATGGGAGTTTCATTTTCAGTTTTTTGAGGAAGCTCCATACTGTTCTCCACAGTGGTTGCACCAGTCTGCATTCCCACCAGCAGTGCATGAGGGTTCCGTTTTCTCCACAACCTCGCCAACATTTGTCATTTGTTGATTTGTTGATGTTGGCCATTCTGACAGGTGTGAGATGGTACCGAATTGTTTTGATTTGCATCTCTTGGATAGTGACTTTGAGCATGTTTTCATGTGCCTCTTGGCCTTCCTTCCGTCTTCTTTTGAAAAGATTCTATTTAGGTCCGTTGCCCATTTATTTATTGGATCATTTATCTTCCTTTTATTAAGTTGTATAAACTGCCTGTAGATGTTGGAGATTAAACCTTTATCAGTGATAACGTTTGCAAATATGTTCTCTCATACATTGGGCTTACTTGTTGTATTGTTGATGGTTTCTTTTGCTGTGCAAAAGCTTTTTATTTTGATGTAGTCCCATTTGTTTATTTTCTCTTTAGCTTCCATTGCCCTAGGGGCAGTATCAGTGAAGAAGTTCTTTTGGCATATGTCTGATATTTTGCTGCTTGTGGATGCCTCTAGTATTTTTATGGTTTCCCATCTTATGTTTAAGTCCTGTATCCATTTTGAGTTTATTTTTGTGTATGGTGTAAGTTGGTGATCTACAGTAGTTTCATTTTTTTAAAAAATAAGTTTTTATTGTTCATATTATTACAAATGTTCCTCTCCCCCCCCCCCCCCCCATTGCTCTCCTCCACCAGGTTCCCACCCCACCCTCTGCCCTTTCCCCACTCCCCACTGTCCTCATCCATAGGTGCACAGTTTATGTTCAGTCTCTTCCCACACCCCCCTCTCCCCTTTTCCCCAAGAATCGTCAGTTCACTCCCCTTCCATACCTCTGAGTCTGTTATATTCAACAGTTAATATTGATTTTTTTTTAATTTAAAAATTAAAAAAAAAATTCCTTGGTTTTTAGATTCACTTGTTGATAGTTACGTATTTGTTGTTCATAATTTTTATCTTTATTTACTTTCTCTTCCGAAAGAACCCCTTTTAGCAATTCATAT